TCAACACCCCCCCAAACCCACCGCCTGAGGTGCCTCAGTATCGGCTGCTGCTGAGTTTCCCCCTGTATCAAGGGCCTGGACGCCCTCTGCCCATGGATGTTTGCTTGCCCTGCCAGGAGCAGGTCACACCAGGATTTTTCTGCAGCAACTGCTGACAGGGGAAAAGAGGGAATTTCTACCCAGGCGAGGAGAAATCATTTCTCTTCCCTGGAAAGGGGAATTGCCTGCACAGCTTCACAGCGAAGCTCCGGCTGGCTCGGCACAGCAGGCACAGCACAGCTGGAGCTGGAGCTGGGGACGTACATCCTAACCTAACCAGGAGGAACGTGAGACTCTGCCTTTGGCTGCAAAATGAACTGGGAGCATTCACAGGCCTCTGCCTCTGTCCGGCGCAGCCCTGAGGCCGGAAGGGAACACACATCCCCAGAGATGCAACCGTGTCATGCGAAGAGTCAGCGTGGTCTCTCCGGATATTTGACTTCAATCCAGACAGCCAAAACTCTAGAGCTGGGCTTATTCCTCCACTAAAAATAAATGAGAAAGGCCAAGAAGTCAGCATATTTAAAGTCAAACCACCACAGGCCACAGCAGTAGCTAGACTCCCACCACAGCGAGCTGACACCCAGGTGCGTGGCAGCCACCCTGCTTACTGCCTCTTTTGGTCCCACTCACGCTCTCTCCCACAGTCCCCCGAAGCAGCCAGAGATGGACAGGGGACACGGCAACCTGCCACAACAGGAGAGGCAGGGGACGCCTGAGCCTTGCAGGGGCTTCAGAGGATGCGAGGACGTTCCCTCCTGCAAGTCACCTCTCTTGCTTCGGGGGCCCTTGTGAAGGGAGCGAGGCCACCATGCGCTCAGCAGGACTGGAAACAAGCCCACCTTGTACACAGCAGATGACTTGATTCCTGCCAGCAAGGAGCCCCTTGGCCCTCACCCTACAGCCTGCGTCTCGGAGGCCTTGCTGCTCTACTTGCAGCACTGCCCACAAAGGGGAACATCTCTCCATCTGCTTCCTTCGGGCTGGGGACTTGTGGGTTGCACCTGCTGATGAAAATGGTCACCACCATCAACGTGGCTGAGCGGTCTCTGCTCCCCGGCAGGGCCTGAGCCTGGGGCTCTGTGGATGTACGGGACGCTCCCTGCCCGTACTTGCCCCGACACCGCAGGAGCTCCTTGGCCAAGAGGACGGCGCAGGCGGTTGATGGAGATCAGCTGCTCTTCGCAGCCACTTCAGGCATTTCCTCCCTGCTCTGCCCATTGTTCGTAAGACAAACAGCTCTCCCTGGCCCGGGAAGGGGCTGGTTACAGAGCCAGAGAGCTCATTCACCCCGGGAGAGGAGCCTGAAAGCACAGGGATTGTTTTTTCTGCAGATCACAGGGAACTGACAGCCTGCGTTATGTCAAAAGCAGCAGCCGGAGAGGAGTTCCCGCTGCTGCTATGCAGTTGCTTTTCTGCCACAGCAGCATGCGGCAGAGCCTGTGATTTCCTCGATGAGGCCATCACTTGGCATCTGTTCCCGACACCCCTCCCGCCCTGGGCACCTCAGCCCGCTCAGCCACAGCAGGCAGAGATCGGGCATCTCCCAGCCTACCCGCCTGCCCCTCGCTGGGAGCAGGATGGTCTGTCACAGCTCAGGGTTAGCTGGTCCTCGCTGATCTTCCTTTCGTGTCCACGCACACAAATAAATCACACCCCAGCAAGGAGAGCAATAACTTTTTTGCTAAAATCAATGGGGCTACAGGTATGTCACTAAAGGCAAAAATAAGCTCATCACTAAGCACTGTGGGGTACGCCCTGGCGCTTGGGAGTGAGTGGGAAGTCCTGACCACGAGCACACAAAGCTGTGTACCGCACGCTGAAGCTGGTGCCAGCCTGGTTCCCAGCCAGCCCTCCTGAGCACTGCATCGCCGTGCCACAGCCCCGGATGAAACACAGACTGGGAACGTTCCCCGTGAGACAGCAAATCAAAGCAAAAGCTAGACATGGTTCACCCTCACAAGCTCTTGCAAGTCTGAAAATAGACCCAGTCCAGTCTCCTAAGTTGCTGGGAAGTATTTTCCTTTCAAAATTACTTTATATGGAGAAGGGGAAGCCTTCCGTAAGCAGCATCTACTCATTCTAGCTGACATGGCCTCAGCTGCTCCCTCCCAGGTCAGCGCTCTGCAAGAGGCAGCAGCAGATGGGAAGCACAAGCAGCTTCTGTCCTTCGCCATTCCCAAAGCCGCCTGCTGCTTTCTGGCAGATTTACAAGCATCCTTCTTTACCTCTTTCTGAAAGCATTTCTCCCTCTCCTTTAACCTGGCCTTGAAGAGACTAAGGAGTTACAGAGAGAAGCTCTGAGCCATCCAGACCAAAGGAGATGCTGGATGCCACGCCTGTTTGGATGCTCCCTCTCAGACTTCAGCAGCCCAGTGAGCCTGGAAAGGCTGCAAACACGAACGCAGCTTTGCCCCAAGCCCTGGAGACTTGAGA